TAGCTTGAGTTCCTTCTGGTGACAGCAGCAGCCATGACGGTGGTGTCTGTGCCGCTGAGGCACCGCCGCCTCCCGCCGTGTGCGCGTGCGGGCCTGAGTCGCGTCACGGACGGGCCCTGACGTCACAGAGCAATTGTGTTAGTTGACTTGGCCTTGATAATTATTGTAAACACTTTGTTCATCTTTTTCTTTTTTATTCACAAACTAAATCCATCAGGAAATTATAAAGTTATTTAAAAATTGTGTGCCGTGTTTTTCTTTGAGCCTCATCCAGTCTGATAATCCAGGTGAGCTGGGCCAGCCTCCCTGGTGGGCACCCGGGAAGCAAGGATGCCCGGGTGAGGGGAGGGCGGACAGGCGGGCAGCACCCCTGGCCCTCACGCGCCTGGTGGGTGACCTCGCAGAGGGTGTGCCCCGCGGGTTCCCACGCGGACTTGGGGTTGACAGCCCCCAGCCCCGAGTCCCGAGGCCTGAGCCAGGGTCTCAGCTCTAACTGTGGTCCAGAGCTTAGAGCAGGCGCCCACGGGGCACGGCCTGAGGGGTTTGTTCAGGGTGGGGTCGGAGCATTGCTGGGTGTGTGCGGACGACAGGGCTCTGGGGGGTGCGAGCTGCATCGGCCGGGAGCACAAGGCTGAGAGTCTGCTCAGGAAACGTCCGGCTTGGGCGTTTGTCTTGGGCCCGATGCTCAGGAAGAAATTCTCCTGGGGGCTTTTTGATGAGAATTGGTTTTCTGCTTCATTTCTGTCTCCCCCGAGAAGGGGTGGCCTGCCTGCCGTGGTCCCTCCCTCTGCCGCGTGGGGACCCCACCCTCCCCACAGGCTCTGCCCGCACCGGGTTCTGCCCCGGTTCGCTCCCTCCAGCCTGGGGGACGGCACCGGCATGGGGTCAAAGACTGGTGCTGCTCGTTGCCCCTTCGTGAAGCAGGGGCGGTGGCCCTGGCAGGACGTGCGTTCCACTGCACGGTGTGAAGTCGCAGGCACGAGCAGCGGCGTCCGCAGCCAGCCGTCCGTGGCGCCGGGCAGCCGCTCCCAGGGCTTTCCATCCTTGTTTCACCGTCTGTTGTCACCCTGGGGGCTGCCTCACTCAGTCGCTGACAGATGGACGCAGAGACCACACGGTTCAGGGAGACTACGTGATGTAGAGAACTCCATCCAATAAGGTGGTTTTTTCTCTGGGTTGGGAGAAGATGACAATTATTTGGAGCATCGCGGGCTGGCCCAAAGACGGGTAAGTGCTGGCTGGGCCCTGGGGTGAGGGCGTGTCCTGAGGGAGCTGGCGTGGGACCCACAGGCTTCCCCAGACGTCCAGGGTGGGGGCCCTGGAGGCGCAGCCTGGAGCCCTGGCCGCGCCCCGCCCTCAGCCTTCTCTAGGTCGTGACTGGTAACGAGGACAACAGGTGATTATGCTGCTCCTTTAAGGGTATAAAGCGTAAAGGTGCTTTCTTCACATCTGCAGCTTGCTGTGGCTTTTTTAGGTTTATTTATTCATTTATTTTAATGGAGGCGCTGGGGATTGAACCCAGGACCTTGTGCATGCTAGGCAGGCACTCTACCGCTGAGCTACACCCTCCCCCTGCAGTTTGCTTTGAAACCGCCCGCACGTGTGCTGGGGAGGCGGCGAGGAGCCGACGTGGACGCGGGAGACTGGCCGGGTGTGGGGTACCAGGCGCCTCGCCCTGTTCTGTCTGCTGCGTGTGCTTGGAATTTCCCACGTCCAGTGCTCACGCCTTCAGCCGCGCTTCTGGGGAGCACACGCGGACTGTCCTCCGGGGTCCG